TTTTCATGCAAATCAACTGCAAAAGGAACAGAATGAGGCGAATTCCCTTTCTGTGTTTAGTAAAAATCAGAGCTCGAGAAGCCTAAAAATAGACTTTTCTCGCCTGGGGAACTCTTGTAACTCGTGCTGCTGGATATTATTGCATTCATAATTTAAATGTTGGATGGGTATAAAATTACTCATGTGGGAGTTATTCAATTTCTGGTAAGTACATTTACAACAAATAGCGGCTGCACATACAAAAGGTAGGAAAAAGCCTTTCCACTTCTGCTAGTGGGACACGTGCAGGGCATGGAACTGTGGGCAGGTAACCTCAGTCCAGCCCAAACCTGGCAAATTTGGCTGGGGGGCAGTTGTGTCCCCTCTGATAGAGGGCTTTGGGCACCACTGAATCCCTCCCAAGATGGAGGATTCCTGGGATTGTGCTGGGCTTTTCCTTCGTTTCTTTGTGCAATGGGATGATTCATGCAAACTGCATCCACTCAGGCGTTATTCAGACCAGCAAACCCCAGGCTGAGCCAAGCTGGGCGCAGGGGCTTGAAGATCGGCAGTTTGCAGGAAAAAATGGGGACAAGGAGGGATTTGCATGCTCCCTCGCTTCCCAATTACCAAATACACTCACGAAGCAATTAAAATGATTAACAGTGCTTTAATATCTACAGTAATATTGCCCTGTCCTCCACAGCGGAGCCGTTTCTGCACGGCTGGCAGCCCCTCTTCCCCATAGTGACTCTCTTTCTCCCGCTTTCTGAAAGCTCCCTTGGAGGAGAACACCGCTGGATGTGGAAGATGTCATGGTGAATACCAATGAAGGGGGTTCTTTTTCCCTCTGCTCTCCGCCCCTTCTTTGGGCCGTCGTCTGGAGCGGACGCGGGACGCATTGGTCCTGGCCGGGATCGCTCCTTGGGCAGAGCCCAGATCTGGAGCCAAACTTGCCAGATCCAGCCGGGACAGGAGTTGAGGTTATTGGTCACAGTCAAGTATTCTGGTTGGCTTTTTACTTGCTTTTGCAGAATTTCACAATGAAACCCCTGGCCCCGGTGTGCCTGTGCCCGGCTCTCTGCCCGGATTGGGTTTCTGAACCTTATGGTGCCTCCCAAGCCCTGCACAAACATCTGGGGGATCAAAGAAGGGTGTCGAAACTCATCCCTCCTGACATATCCTGCTATGGGGGTGCAAGAAACCCACAGTCTCGCATCCCAGGGATGGTGAGATGGGACCTGGATGATTTTTCACGCGTGTTTTATGTTCAACAGATTCCCGTGACACAGAATTTATTTGCTCTATCTTCCTTTTCTTAGCACCACGAGCTCAGGCTATGGCATTACAGGGAGCAGAGTTTTGAACGTGCGTCTGGCAAGACAGGACAGGCTAGAGGAGGAAATCTTTACTATTCAGATTGCGTGTGGGTGGAGGGAGGAAAGCGCCATGCAGAACACTGAAACCCCGATAAAATATTGGCCTGGTGCGAACACTCGGGTGCTGCATATTCTGCACAGCGCAGCCGGGTAGCTGAACGCAGCCTCCTGGCAAGCGGCAGAGCCCTTTTCTGCCAGCTCTTTGAGGCAGAAAGTTTCTTTTTAATCCATGTTTGCACAGCCCGGCGCGACGCCCATATCGATGGGCGCGCCGGCTCGCCGTCAGGATGAGTGTGATTGATATTTAGCAAGAAAATTTCCCCGCCGCGCAGAACGACTCGTGCAAATGGCCGCGTGTGCTGGTGCGGGGCGCCGTGTCCGTCCCGGCGTCTGCTCCGGCTGGGGAGCACTGGCTCCCATTGGGAAGTGCTCCCAGCGCACGCGGAGCCGGCGCCGGCGGCTGCTCCTCGCTGCAGGGCCAGGAGCTCCCGGCGCAAACCCAGCCCGGCCGGGGCTGTGCAGTTATTGATCGCAGCGGGTTTCGTCTGTCCTTTGGATACCTGAGGGCTGATCTGCTCAGAGTGGTGTCTGGGAGAGCGACGGCGCGTTTAATTCACGCCTTGGCGCAGTCCAAATTAACCGGCAAGCAGAGGCAGGTCCCGCACACAGGGCGATGCCGCGAGCGGGCGAGGGAGCTCCCGCGTGCGCCCGCCTGGCACGCGGCCGCTGCCGGCTCCTTGGAAGCCCCCGTAATGGGAAGGGGAAAGACAGGATTTGCCCAGGGGTTTCCTATGCACTGGGGCTGCCCAGGTGGGGCTGGGCATGGGGAGAGGCCAGTTTGCTGTGCAGATGTGCAGATGTGTGAGTGCAGAGGTGCAGGTGTGTGAGTGCAGATGTGCAGAAGTGTGGGTGCAGATGTACAGACATGTGGGTGCAGATGCTGCGACTGCAGGCAGGAGAAGAGGCATTTGTCACTGCTCACATTCAGTGGGTGAAAATCGACCGGTGTTTTTGCTGTAAGAGGTGGCATTTTGAGGGGTTCTCTCCGGACCACAGCATTCAACGTGTTTTGTTTCTTCACTTGACCCACCCTTATTCTGTTGCCAACAGGTTTTGTAAATCTGCCGCAGTGACAAGGTTTTCTTGGAACGGTTCTTTGAGCCGATTGCATTGCTCCACAGCACCTGAATAGCTGGCTTTAGCACAGGCCAAGCTGATAGTTCTACCTATGCATGAGACAGTTGCTCAATACTTTCCACTGCAAAATCCTATTTTAATTACTTTCAGCATTGCAAAAGTTTTGCCAGCAAGGCAAAATTTTGTATGCCATCAAGGCACCTACTTACTTCCCTCCCTGTCCACTTGAGGGGGGAAGATAAATGAAGATCTAAATTCGTGTCCCTGTTGACAATGTCTCAATTTTATTATTAATCTTTTTGTTATTCCAGAGAACAGTGTATCTCGAATATTAACAATGAAAGAACTTTTCAATTAGCCTGTTTTTTGTAAAGCAAAAAAGCATTTATCTCAAACGCCCATGATATGCTTGGGATAAAGATTTTTGTGGCAGATTCAGGACTTGCATGCCTTCAATTAAGATCTGAAAAAGCTGTCACAAATTGAGTGTTCCTTGGCCATCTAACAGGCAGATTTCTCTTTCTGTGAGCCATTCTGAGAACTCATCTGTATCAACTGCGTAATCATGACAAAGGGCTGCTCAGGCTTATTTGTGTGCAAGACTTCATGCTGCAAGACCTGGATTCAGAAAATAACTTCAAGTCATCTCAAACTCCTTGTGTTGGCCTTTGCATAAAAGCTGCACCAGGAATAGTTATGTGCTTGATACTGAGCGTATAGGCTCGTGCATTGCTGAATTTGGACTTGCTGCAGGTTTTGAAGGAGCCCCTCAGCAGCTATCCTGCTCTGCTTGCGATTTGTCTGCAATCTATTTGTTTAGTTTGGGGTTTTTCTTTCTTCTTTTAGAGTCCTGGTTGCTGCATCCTGTGAGATTTCATTTGATCTAGCTGTCAGGTACAAAAAGGGAGGAAGAAAAAAAAAAGGGAGACATTCGAGAGGAAGAGTTTCAGGTTTCTCTGGCTGTGGAAACCTTTGGAGCGTGTGAAGCAGAAGCACCTTGCAGGCTCTGGCATCATGAAAAGAGCAGAAGAGCAGAAGGGGCGTTACCGAGAAGCGCTGTTATGTTCAAAGCCTTTTCCAAGGCCTGAGTCACAGCTCATATTATTGCCCCAGCCCTGGGTTCACTCAAGTGCTGCATCTCATCAGCTCCTACTGCAGACAATGGGTGATTATTGACTTGTAGAGGGTTAACTAGAGTGAGGGCAAGCGCAAACTCAGGGCTAGTGAAAGAAAGGTGCCAGCCCCGAGCTTCCAACCTAAGGCTCTGTTGGTCATTTTCCTGGGATTTTACCCTATAATCTGCCTACAATATTGGCAGGCATGAGGCTCCAGGTGCACCAGGCTGTGCCTGCCCCAGAGGAAACACCAAAACCCCACACTGTGCAAGATGATGGGGTCAGAAAACAACATAGTCCTCCGTTTGCCGCCTAATATAAGGTCCTAATATATACAGTTTATGGTGATGCATCGTCATACGCCGGGGTACATAAAGCCCCAAGTAACAGCAAAGCCCACATTCCTAGTACAAGTCCTAGCCCGAATGCGTGTGTCTGTGGGATGGAAGATCCAACGTCCCCTCCAAAATGGCCCCAGGTGAGGCGCGCATCACCCTTCACAGCGCGAGGCCTCCTGGTCCCCGCCTTTATCTGCATAGACACGCCCTCGCGGTGCGCCATTGGCCGGCGTTCTCCCCAGCGGTGGCGCGGTGGTGGGGCTGTGGGGCGTGGCGCCTCATTAGCATTCGCCCCGCCTCTCCGCGGGCGGGCGGCGGCGCTGGTTGGCCGCCCGGCGGCGGCGGCTCGCGACCATT